CCACAAACACACGAGTAATTGTAGTGTCGGAAGCAGAGTGGGCTGGGGAGGCACAGAAAGGAATTGGAGAACTCAGTGGCATCCTGGGTCTTCTAAGATGTTTGGGTCTTTTTCCAAGTGCAGTCATACGTTTTTGGAGAAATTGAAGCTGGGGATGTTATGGTGTGGTTTACATTTTTAAAAATATATATTTTTATGATTTCAAAGAGAAAGGGAAAGGGAGAGAGAAATAGAAACATCAATGATGAGAGAGAATCATTGATTGGCTGCCTTCTGCATGCCCCCTACTGGGGATGGAGCCTGCAACCCTGGCATGTGCCCTGACTGGGAATTGTACTGTGACCTCCTGGTTCATAGGTCGATGCTCATTTTTAAGAGATGACTTCACTATGTGGAAAATGGATATTAGGAAGCTAACATAGACATGTAGCTATTGAAATGGGCCAACAGTTGAATAATGTTGGCTGGATTAAGATGGTAGTGATGAGGGTACAGGGGAGAAAAGAAAATACATATATTTGGGATATATTGTAAAGATAAAATATGAGAATGTGAGAATGTAAGATTCATAAAAAAGTATACTCTGTTTAAGTCCATCCCCAGCACACAGTGGACATTAGCAGAGTATTTGATGGATGAGTTGAATAAATGAATGAATCAAATGTGTGAAGAAAAGAGAGGAATCAAGGATGAGTTTTCCAGCACACTCAAATCTCCTGTAGCATGTGGAACCAGAGACACTGTTTCTGCCTAAACCTTTCCAAGTGTTTCATGTTTGGAAACTAACATTGTCTACTTTGGAGCATCGTTTAGGCTTTTTTAATCTCCAAAGGTTCCCTTTCAAATTCTAATATAAAATATGGCATATGAATTCCCCTTGTCTTCTAAGCCAGGATTTATGTTCTACAAAGAAAATAAAAACCACATTCTAGAAAGCACAAGGAAACACTAAAAATAAAATAGTGGGGGAGGCAACGTTGAAAATACAGCTTTTAAGGAGAGAATCTGCTGACAGTGAATTGTTGGCCCCTGGAGCATGCCTGTCCCAGCTGAAGCAGACAATAGGCTAAAATGAGGAGGAAGGGGAGGGAGGAGCACATTCATTTGACATAATCTTGGAAAGGAATGAACTTCTAACCATTAGTTAAAACTGTTGTTATGTTTTATAACATAAAACATATCACCAAGAAAGATTGTGTTAACAAAATACCATGTCTTTCTTGAGTCTAAATTATTCGATTACTGGCCTAAGTTTAGAGAAAGTTTACTAGTCTACTCCCTCGAGGCTTGCTGAGCTGATCTAACAGATGTCAAGTGTCACCAACCTTCTCCTCAAAATGGTGCCAACTCAACATATGAGAAGCCATGCTTTAGAGCCGGGATTCTGGACATATGCCTGTGAACAAAGATGTAAATATATACATTTTTCATTAGGATGTGGCTCAGAGCAAATAGACCCCACTGTCTGGACAAGTGCCTCCTTCCTCACTGTGGCTCCAGTCCCTTTCTCTTCCGATGAGTTGAGGCCAGCGACACAATCCTGACATAGTGATGACACAATCTAGCTTGGTTTCTCTAAGTGTGGTCCATGGGCCAACAGTGCTGGAAGTTTATTAAACATTTAGAATCTCAGCACCTTCCTGGCCCGACTTAATCAGAATATGCATTGTAACACCATCTCTAGGTGATTTTTGCCTATGAAAGTTTGAGAAGACTGGTCTAGCAGCCCCTTGTAGGTTTTAACTTTTATTCTTAATTCCATCATGGATTTACCTTTGGGAAAGATTACTTACTGTGTTTTAAGAATCTCCATTTTTTTTTTTTTTGCATCCATAACATAAACATAGTTTTCACCTTTCCTGGCGAAGCACTGGTGAGGCTAGAGAGCTAGACAATGAAGTGCCTTATGTGGAGAAGGGCATTGAAGTCTTGTTAATTTATGGGAGAAGACTAAAATACACTCTGGAGAGGAAGGACAACAATTGCATTGGAAACAGTTGGCTGTCGGACAGAATTCATCTATGTCCTATCGGAGGCCACAGGAAGTGGAAATAATTAACTGGCTGCTGTTTCCAATGGGCGAGAGCCGTGGTCTTTCCTGCCCGCCTTTTTTCATGCTCTCTTTTACAGTCCGGTAAAATAGGAGACATAATCTTGTGCTTCCTGATATGTGATTATAATTTAGAAAAATATTGACATAAGAATGTGGAAAGAGAGCTTTTTAAATATTACTTTACAGAGAAGCCCCTTGAAGGCACAGGGATAGAACTGTGGGCTAACAGACCAGTGCTGATCTTCCCTATAGCAACCAGGGAAGGACTCGCCACTAGCAGCAGTGAAAACCATATAAAGTCCTTGTCTAGGTGCGGGCATGGTTAGATCCTGAGTATCTAGCAATACATTGTACGCTTCTCAGATTATGATACAAATAAGCCAGTAAGGATATTTTTATTTGATGACTCACACCACCATTTATTATTTTATTGTCCTTACGCTTGTGGGCTATTCCGGAGTCAGGTTATTAGAAGTTAGACACAGAGGCTTTCAGTTTAAAGTTTCTGCTAAGGAAAGATGATAGCAGAGAAGTAAGAATAGTACAATAATTTGCCTTTCATTTTCCTACTTATTTCTCCAAGAACTTTAACCTTATCTCACTGTTATCTCCAATTCCAAAACGGATCCAAATAGAGAATATTATTTGTTCATATTTTAGGTATTAACTGTATTAACTTTCAATAATATTAATAGGTCCCTCTTACCTGTGTTTTAATTTTAAAATTATACACCCCCCCCCAATATTCTCATTGCTAATATCCCAAAGTTGAAGTGAAGGAAAGGAATATGTGTGTGTAGAAGAGAGATGCTTCTGATATTTTAACATAAAGATAACGTATACTGATATAAGTATGTTAAACAATAATAATATTATCCAAAAGGCGGTCCTTTTTAATCTTTCACTTATGGAATGTATTTTATGTCACATTATTCTAAGATTCTAATTGTTTTTTATCTTCACCAATTTAATATCTGTGAATTAGATACATAATCTTAATATAATCATTTTACTAAAACTGACATAATTAAAAACTAATGTATTAGTCAAGAGTAATTTTATTTTCTGTCATACATTTTAGTAGAATAACTTAACAGCTTAGTGAGCAGAGAGAAACTTAAAGAAACCATTCTGTTTATCTTTACAATATGCTTGCTTGATTTGCTTCTTAAAGTTTATTTAATATGTAATACTTACTTTAAAAATACTGTGGTCCTGAAGGCTATGTATTTAGAACTTATTAGAAGTAAAGTCCTAATGCATATAAATTCTTTGGTTAATCTCTCCCCACCCACTCATCCACCCCCACCTTCCCTTTTATGTTACCACCATATATATATATATATATATATATATATATATATATATATATATATATATATATATACCAAAGGTCTGGTGCACAAAATTCATGCATGGGGTGGTCCCTCAGCCTTGCCTGCAATGATGCCAGCGTCCTGTGCCCCAGCTGACCTCTGGCCAGAGTCCCTCCCACTTGCTCTCCCTCCATGGGCCAGGGCACATGGGACACAAGGGCCCGTTGCTGGAGTGATGCCACTAGCATCCAGTGCCCCTGCCACTATGGGAGCCACCATCTTTGTGACAGAGTGATGGTTAATTTGCATATTACCCTTTTATTAGATAGGATTGATTTCAGAGAGGAAGGAAGAGGGAGAGAGAAAGCTCTCGTAAGCTGAGAGCTCCAGTGGTGTCACTAAAATGCATGTCTCGGCCATGTCTATAGATTGGCTCCATTCTCATGATTCCTGGGATGATTTCTGGAATCTTCTAATTCACATCATCACACTACTCAGTTTAGGAAAAAAGGGAGATTGACTCTGTGATAACCCCAAACCGAAGTTCAGAACTGAGGTCCCTGGCTCCAGCTGGCCTGCCCTGAAACCCATGTCTATTCCTAAATCAAAGACTGTGGCCAGCATGATGGAGCTGCCATTGGATTAGCTAGGCACAAATGGTCCCTGGTTCTCGGATAGAGTCGCTTCACTAGAAGCATTTGGGCTGAGGCTGGAAAGGCCTAGTTAGGAATGTGAGTGGAGGAAGCAGAGAGAATAACCATTATCTGCTCAGAGCCACAGACCACAGGCAGGCTTCTTCTTTCAATGGGAAGTTCAATGTCATCTGGGAAAGTGGTTCTGAAGCCTTAGGGTGTGTATTAGTTTGCTAGGGTTTGCCTGTCCCATCACTGTATTTTTGAAGCACATAACTCTTTCGGTTTCATAGGTTCACAGATGGAGAGGAATCTTGCCACAGGATGAGTCATTCTTTGGGTCTCTCCAATACCAGATATAGATGATATTTGGATTATATTTTTAACTTAGCGTTGATGTTGGAATGGGTTAAGACTTTGGAGCTGTTAGGATGGCATGAATATGTTTTGCGTGTGAGAAGGACATGAATTTTGGCTGGTTTGATGGTGAATTATTACGGGTTTGATTGTGTTCCTCCACCACTCCTATATTGAAGTCCTGACCCCCCCTGTACCTTAGGCTATGGCTTCATTAGAAATTGAGTAGGTGCAGATATAATTAGTTAAGATGAGGTCAGTAGGATGAGTCCTAGTTCAGTATGAATGGTCTTATAAAAGTGACACATTTGGATTCAGAGATATGCACGCAGGGAGAACTCCCTGTGAAGATGGAGTTATTCTGCCATAAGGCAAGGAACCAACAGAAGCACAGAGAGAGGCCTGGAACAGATCTTTCCTTCCCTCGCGTCTTCAAAGAGAGCATGACTGTGCCAAAACAAAGTACCATAAACTCACAAACTGAGCGGCTTAGACAACAACAATTTATTGTTTCACATTTCTGGAAGCTAGAAGTCTGAGATCATTGTGTCAGCAGGGACTTGTTTTAGGACCACTGTGTCCAGTGTTCTCACCTTGATTTTAACTGGGTTTATTGTTATTGCTTTTTTTTTCCCCCCATAGAAGAAACAAGAGTGTCTGGAGATGATGAAATGGAGAAGCTCTACAAGTCATTAGAGCAAGCCAGTCTATCTCCACTTGGGGACCGGCGACCTTCAACCAAAAAGGAGTTGAGAAAGTCCTTTGTGAGGCGGTGTAAAAATCCATCCATAAATGAGAAACTCCACAAAATCCGAACCTTGAATAGCACATTAAAGGTAAAAAATGTCAAACTGTAGATGAACTCTGGGGATGCAGGGTGAAGAATGGCTGGTTCTGCAGAGATTCATGCTAGCCACTGCGTGTTTGTGTGGGTGGGAGCGAGGGAAGTAAAATCAAGTCCAGTCTCTGTGGGATGAGGTGACCTTTGGTGTTCTTGAAGCTCTAGACACTCATAGGGGGAACTCATCTACTTTTCTACATAGGCCTTGATTTTTATATTCACTCTGATATATAAAACTTCGATATAACATATAAAAATGTTAAGCTCCTTAGTCAGGGACCATGTGTAGTAATTTTTGTGTATGTACCTCTTTACCTAGCCCAATAGATGTTGATGAGCGCTTAAGATAGTTAACTTGTGAGAATAAACTATAATATTAATAAGATCTTGAGATTCCACTGATTTATCACAAAGTGCCACTATTCTGTAGTACATCCAGAAGAAATTTTCTAGATTTCAAATATAGCAGAAACTTAGTGACTCTCAGCTGTAGGCTCGGCAGCCAAGATATGCCACGAGAGTTGAGCAGTGGGAAATATATACTTCATGGGTAATAGACCAGCAGATGTTTTCACAATGGGAACGAGGGAGAGTGTGCAGGATGTACTGACGCTATTTTCAGGGCCTCCTGTGACTAAAGCGAGTCCTCATAACAAAAGCATTCTGCTTTCACATTTAGATTATAGCACGAACAGGATACTTGGTCAACTGGTCCTGAACTAGCAAAGGATTTATAGATTCTGAAATGCCTTGATAGATCCTGCAATTTAATTCTGTTTTGGGCATGTCCTTCTGTATCAAGAATTTGAGTCTCTTTCCGGAAAGAAATATCAGCAATCAAAGCATAAGGCTATAGAGAGATGGCTGAGTGACTCTTAGATGTTCCAGTTAATCAAAAGAAGACCTAAGCACCCTATAAGGCTGCAAAAATGAGGCTGCAAAAGAAAAGGAATGTCTTAATTATACAAGTAAAATCCAAATGCAGAAAAGTTCCCTAACATTTATCGATGAAAATCATCACTAGCACACATTTTAAAGGCAAATATGATATACTTCACATTATGTACGGAATTGACAAATGTTTGGTTACTTGATGTACTATGCCTTCGTATGTTGGGATTGTACTCAATTACAGTAGCTATTATAAATGAAAACATTTTTCATTGAACAAATATTTCCCAAAACTTACTATGTACCAGGCACTATTCTAGGGCACTGAAATTATTGAATGGACCCCACCTGACAATGGAAACAGAGAGGAAAACAGTTAGAATACAATGTGCTGAGATGTTGTAGTTGATACAAGCTTGGAGTGCTTTGGTAGTCCGGATGAGGGCAGTGCCTGCCTATCTGAGGCCTGTAGGGACAGTGCTGACAACTGACAAATGAGTAAGAGATGAAGAATATCAGGAGGAGCCCAGCTGGTGTGACTCAGTGTTTGAGTGTCAACCTATGAACCAGGAGGTCATGGTTTAATTCCCGGTCAAGGCACATGCCTGGGTGGCAGACTCAATCCCCAGTGTGGGATGTGCAGGAGGCAGCTGATCAATGATTCTCTCTCATCATCCATGTTTCTCTCTCTCTCTCTTTCTCTCTCTCTCTCTCTCTCTCTCTCTCTCTCTCTCTCTCTCTCTCTCTCTCTCTCTCTCTCTTCCTCTCTGAAAAACAAAACAAAACAAAAAGAATATCAGGATGACAACGAACAAGGAAGGGCATTCAAGGAGGAGGACCTGGCTTGGGTAAATGGATGGCAGTGGATCATGCTTTTGTCCATGTTGGGAGAAATAGGAAATGGCAACTAAGAAGAGGGAGAGACAGTTCAGGCCATTTCCACAGGGAGAAAGACTGTGTTCTTCACCTCGCATAACAGCAGGCTTAGGATTCTAGTCCATCACAAAAGCATGTCCTAGCCTGGCTGGGTTTATCCATGGAATTCAAAGGTTTTAGCAGCCTCATGTGGTTCTCAGTAATCTCTTGCTCTCTATGCACTGTTGCCATCTAATTGATCAGTCCAGCTTTTTTCTTTCTTTCTGTGCATTAGGTACCTATTGCTAGGTAACAAAAAAAAAATCTCAAAACTTAGCAACAATAATCAATAAACACTTATTACACAGTGTTTGTGGGTCAGGAATCTGGGCATGGCTTGCTGAGGAGCTTCTCCCTCCTGGGACTGTGATCCAAGGTTCAGCTGGGACTGCATTCATTCCTCCACTGGGGGAGTCAGTCCTTGCAGGCTCTCGCATGAGGTGGTTGACAGAATTCAGGTCTTCACAGGTTGCTGGACTGAGCGTCTCAGTTGTTCATTGTCTGTTGGTAGGAGGCCACACAGTTCTCTGCCCTGTAGCCCTTTCTTAGGGTAGCTCCCAAAATGAAAGCTGGCTTCCTCGAGGGCAAGTAAGACACGGAGAGCGAGTGAACAAGATGGGTCATATGCCAATGTCAATCGTGATGTCCCATTGCATTCACGGTGTTTACAGTATTCTGGTCCTTAGAGGCCAGTCACTAGGTCAGCATGGATCCACAGAGGGGGATTATACAAGGGCATGAATACCTGGGAGCAAAGAACACTGGGGGCCATGTCAGGGGTTATAATGCCAGGCTACTCTCTGTACATTCCTAGAAGGAAGCCCTTTCCACAGATCCCTTAGGCCTCAAAAGTGTGATGCTGGGGCTGTGAAACATCATCCATGTCACCTGTTCCTATCAACCTCATTAGGAGGAAGGAGGGCATGATTGTGTAGAACTTGACGTTGATGGAAAAAAAGTACATCAAACTATTCATTGGACAAAGATAATTTAGTACTGTATATTTATTTATTCAAGTTGGAAAGCTATAAGGATTATTTTAACCATCTTTAATTAGTTTTAATTGACTATATTGCAACGACATTGAATAATACATTTATACAAGTTTCAGGGGTACAATTCTATAATGTATCATCTGTCTATTGTATGTGTGTTCACCTCTCCAAGTCAAGTTTCCTTCCATCACTATTTCTCCTCTTTACCCTCTCCTATTTTTCTCCATCCCCCTTCACTCCTGGTAATTACCAAACTGTTGTCTGTCTGTGAGTTTTTTGTTTGTTTTCTTAATATCTTTACTTTTTCACCCAGCCCCTCCTCCTCCCTTCTGATAGCGGTCAGTCTGTTCTTTGTATTTATGAGTCTATTTCCATTGTGTTAGTTTATTTTATTTATTAGGTTCCATATGTCAGTGAAATCATATGGTACTTGCCTTTCTCTGCTTTAAAATTCAAAGCAGTCAGGATGGTGCTTGCCTTTGAAGAGGAGGAAAGGATTTGATGGGAGAGGCCGCAAGTACAGCCTCTGAGATACTTATAAGGGTCCTTTTTGACTTTGGTGTTGGTTACAGACTGGTCCATTTTATGATAATTCATCAAGCACAAGCCCTGTTGTGTGTGCTGTTCTCTGTATATGTTACATTGCAATATCAAGATTTATTTAAAAAATAAAACACTTCAAAGCTTGAGCGTGGACAAGCAGAGACAACAATTTCATGCAGAAATAAGGAAACTTTTAACAATAGTGTTTATATTAGTGAGAGGCACATTCCATACATAAAAAAAAAAAATCCCTGTATGGGGATTGTATTGGAACAAATGTGGAAATCCTTCAAGAACATTGAGCAGATAATCATGTCATACTGTAATATAGATCTTTAGGAATTTCTGATAGCTCAACATCCACTGAGTTTTGGCTAAATCTTCTTTTATTTTATAATGAATGATTACTGGAATAATTGAGGGGTCTGCTTGAAAGTTCATCTCAGGTTTTCCCTGACCTACGTCAAGAGGAACTAACCCTTCTTTGCCCAACTGCTCCGATAGAATACAATTTCAATGCTTAGGTTTTGATTCAAGTTATCTGCTGCACATTTGTAGTGAAAAATGAAATTCTAGCATCTGTCTTTCACAATATTTTTTGGAAGCCCTACCAAGCCCAGCCTACCTGCCAGAAATCAAGGAAGATGTAAAAGTGGTTCAGAGCATTGGGAGAGCAGGACCCAGTGTGATCCTGTTGAGTCCAGGGTGCTGGGTCTAGGAGGGAGCTCAGAGGGTTTGTTGTTTCACAATTCTCTTCCTCTGAATTCTTGTCTACAGTGTTTTTCTTTTACCCATTACAAACTAATACAGACTTGAGCCAAATGGTAAGACATTTGGATTGTTTAGAATTATAAAACATGTGGTGTTAGCCCAAAGTTGGAGACCCTTTCTGAAACCTTTTATCGGATTTAGAGGGATGATTAGTGCATTTTTGCCTTTAACAATTTATTTTCCAAATTTTGTTCAACTGCAAAGATCTTGTTTTTCAATAAAATATTAGGATCTCTCTCTGAACAGATGACAAAATTTCTTTAGAGCAAAAGGAAGAATCCTTAAATAACTTCATATGAATAGCACTATGGTGTTAGTGGATGAAAGCTCTTTTTTCTTTTAAATACTTTTTTTTTTTTTTTTTTTTTTGATGGAAGCATAAATGTTGAGAACTCAGAGAGAAGAAAGAAAACTCTCTTGACCCTGGCTTGACATTCTGCCAGTAATCCTTCCCAGTTACCCACTTACTTCGCCTCCTTTCTCTGCTTCTGGGTCCTGGCCAGCCTGCTTGTTATCTGTCCTCCTTTGATTACTTTCCTACTGAACAATTTTCTCTCTTTTCTTAAATCCAAATATATCTCTTGATCTTCATATATTATCATATCCTTATTAACGTGATTCAAAATTATAAATCTCATCACTCAGACTTCTGGAGGGTGAGGGGAGAGATACTTTTCTCTTGAAATCTATATTATCCTGGCCAATCTAGAAACTGGAAAAGAAGCAAACAAGAAAAATGTAATAAAACAATAGATTTGAGTGCCACTACATTTGTGACCATCTATGACCAGATACTTCATTTGGATAAAACAAATGCTGACAATTCTAGAATTCTTAAAACTATGTGGAAATGTCTGTATAGTTATACAGATATAGATGTGTGATATATAACATATAACAAGATATATATTAGAGGCCCGGTGCATGAAATTCATGCACTCATGGGGGTCCCTCAGCCTGGCCTGTGCCCTCTTGCAGTCTGAAAGCCCTCAGGGGATGTCTGATATGGGAGGAAAAAGAGGCTCCCATCACTGCCACTGTGCTCACCAGCTATGAGCACATTGAGAGTCTGTCCCATGGTGGTTGGTGCAAATCATAGTGACTGGTTGTTCTGCCTTTAATTATGTAGGATTTACATGTATGTGTGTGTGTGTATCATGTATAAAAATATTTTTGTTTGGAGAGGATTCTTTTTGGGCTCCAAATAGGGTTCATGATGCAAGAAAAATTAAAAAGCAAATGAATAAGTAGTTTATTCATTCATTTCTTATTTCACATATTAATTTTTTCAACAAGTATTTAATGAATGTCCACCATGTGTCAGTCATTCTTTCAGGTCCTGGGAAACATAGCAGTGGGTATGTCATACAAAATTGTCTGCTCTCATGAAGCTATGTTTAGGTAGAGGGAGAAATAAACAAAGTAAGTAATTTTATAGTGTACAAAGTAATGATAGATTTATAGAGAAGAGAAGGAGGATAAAGAATGTTGAGGAAACACTTATTAATTAGGATAGGCATGAAAATCTTTGAAAGATGGAATTTGAGTAAAATAATTGTGTAGATGTAGGTAGTGGGCAATAGGAACTGGGGAGAAATATTCTTCACATTGTTTCTTTTCCTAAAAAAAAAAAATTTGAACAAGGTCATCAGCTGTAAGGGAAGATAGGGGCAAGGCTTAAATAGACAGAGGAAGTTTTGAACTAGTCCTTTGGAAGAGTGAGAGAGGAAAGGGATGAGAACACGTTATGGAAGTCCACTTAATGGCAGTAGTTATGAATTTGAACTGTAACCAATGATCACAGCTGTAAATTTTTAGCTACACACAGGCTATCCTAGAGGCAGGTAGAGAGAGTGGTTCATTAATATTTATGTGTTGAATGTCTTCCTGCAATTGGCATTGTGTTAGGCATAAAAAATACAGCAATGAATTCCATGTTTATTATCACCTTCCTTACAAAGCTTTAGAAAAGTTGTCTGAGGAATCCAGGAGCATCTAAGCACAACATAGTGGGCAACAAATGGTGCGCCAGCCCATGGAACAGGGGATGTGAAGGGGAACCATTAAAGGGACTCAGTATTTTAGGTCGATCTCGGCACTGCCATGCAAAAGGTGGATTTGAAGTGGAGATTAGCGACAGGGACTCCTTTAGGAGACTGTACAGCAGGTAGAGTGTGGTATATTGGACTTAGTATCTGAAATTGGTGTGATAGTCATAGGGATAGAGGAAGCAAGAATAGATTTGAGATAAAATTGTTAGGACTGAACGATCTTTTTTTTTTTTTTTTTTTTTTTTTTTTGAATCTGGAAGCTGTTGCATCTTATTTTTACCTCATTTCTTGACTACAAAAAACTTCCCTAACCTGGGTCCAACATTTCAGAAATGTGTGTCATCGATTACAGAGGAGGCAGGGTGAAATGTAAATTAATATGAGTAGATTCTATACTCTGTTAGCACCAGTGCAGTATATACTGTTTTCATGGAAGGCTGGAAGTCTTTGAATTAAAAGAAAGGCCTATATAAATATTCTGCATATATTAATTAAATAAATGTGTGATTTATTAAAAATTAAGATAAAATAAAAATACATTTTTTATTGTCTTATATCTTAGGGAAAGCACTGTTTTCCATTTTACTTGGTGAAGTTTGGCTAGCCAATGAAATAATGATAGAGTTATGAGTTTTGGAAGGAATAATGGTCACACTGAGACAGAACTATCACTGTGGTGTGCAAAAATGGATTAATCAGAGTCACATAGGAGACCTTGGCTGAATGTCTAATTCTTCCATTGGGTAGGATACTTACAGATGTCCTGCCATATATCTTAGGGTTGTTGTAGGGATTTGAATATTAATGTGTAAACACACTTTGATAATTTTGATGAATATGTATGTGCATTTCTTTGTAAAATAGATGAAGGTGGGTTATTGAAATTGAGATACTCATTACAACACCCCCCCCCCCTTTTTTTCCCCCCCTACTTGGACAGTGTAAAGAACATGACCTGGCCATGATTAACCAGTTGCTGGATGATCCGAAGCTGACAGCCAGAAAATACCGTGAGTGGAAGGTCATGAACACCATGCTGATTCAGGACATCTATCAGCAGCAGCAGGAACCTGCATCTGCATCAGCCCCTACAGGCTCCCCCTAGGGACTCCAGAAATCATCATCCTCTGCCTCTGTTGAAAGTTCTGTTTGACATCAAGCCAGCATTCTCTGCCTTCCCCACCCGCCTCCAGCAACTCTTCAAGATGTTACCAGAGCTCACATTTTTCCTTAAAAGGAAAACTGAGACCATTTCCTCAAGTATCAGCTTCCCGTAGAGATGCAGTCTTGGTGAGGACCAGCACTGGGAGCAGCAGGAATCCTTCCAGGTGTGGCGTTCCCCTGGAGACCAGAGGGATGGAGTCCAGTTGAACAGTCCTTGTGTTCCTGCTGGGAGCTCAGTTATGCCAGACTCTAGGTGGAATGTGAAAACGCTGTTCCCTGCTCTCAAGAGAATTACAACATTCTGTGGACAAAGGATCACTCTTTTGCCATAGAAATGTTCAGTTCTCCAATTTTACTGAGTTGGGCAGTTGAATTCTCCAAATCGTTTTGTTGGATGAAGGAATGTTTTCTATGGCGGCAACTGGAACAGGACAGATGCTTTTGTGGAACTGAAATCCCCTGCCCCTGGTCCAGAATGGTGGTACCTTTTCCACGAGGTGGAGAAACACTTCATAGCGAGTGGGGTGTGGGAGAACCCGAGAAGGAGGCGTGTTTTGTGTTCCCCTCACTCTAAGGACAGCTTGATGGCCTCACACTTCAGCAGCTGGGAGTGGCGTGGGATCTGATTATATTTCCTGTCCACAGAACAGCTAACGAAAATGTCTCATAACTTGGGAGGCCTCTACTCCTTCCCAGCATTCCTGAGCCCCTGTAGGGGACAGTTAAAGGTCCCACAAGGAATGATTGCTGCCGTTGTCCTTGGGTGTGTGCTATGCACAGTATAACTTTATATCTAGGCTCCCTGGGATAAATATTGATGAGATCATTCTGTTATCTGAATTGTTTAAATACCTTTACTCCCAAAACAACAACCAGCCAACAAAAACAGCAAAAGAGTTCAAACATGATTGTTTTATTTTTGTACGTTTATGTCGCATTGTGTCCTATGTGAATAGCCATATATAATGTTTGTTATTTAAGTATATTTATAGAAGTTCAAATTACTAGTGTTTTAAAAGATGATATACTATTCTATGTTTTGCTCAGTATACTCAAAGGATATACATTTTTGCTTGAGGAAAATAGAAATACTATTGATTGATTAATTGGAGTTATTATATATATAATGTATGAGGAATGCTCAGGAAATCTTATGGGATCAATGAAGGGGCATGCAATAATTATCTTTCATTTTCTGATTTATCTCTTTCTCCCTCCCTCCCTTCCTCTCTCCCTTCCTTATTCCCAGCCTCCCTTTCTCCCTGCAGAGGTTTTAAATTTCTCTGTTTTAAGTCACTGTCTTAACTGGAAATAGAATTTGATCTTACATTATCCCTTTGGGTAAATAAACTTTAAATCTTATGGCCATTTATGCCCTAAACCAAATGAAACACAACTAATGTAGTCTTTTGTCTAAAGACCTGTAGAAATTTAGGGGTCTATTGTTAAAGAGAACTAATTTTATTAGAGATGCAATATGAAAGTCTCCTCTTACTGATCATCATGAATATTTTTCACTATAAAAGCAACCACAAACCACTAAAACCCCACTTTGGCCCTATCCCTAGCAAATGGTTGGCATAACACAGTTTTCTGTATAACATTTAATCATGGCTTGATATTCAAATGGAAATAACCCCTGAATTTTATTTGTAAACTAAATAGAAGTAGTGGTTGAATATTTTCCCAAGCTTTACTAAGAAGTCTTAATATTTTGCAAAAAAAACCCTGCAAAAAACAAAACAAAAACAAAAAAGAAAACACCAACCTAAGCATCAGGAAAGAAAAAAAATCAAACCAGAAACACACACACACACACACATACACACACACAAAAGAGGAAGCAACCCAAAGTGTTAGAAGCCTGTGTAAGATAAGAGACCAGGGCAGCTGGTTTAGCCCAGCAAATTCTTCCAAGCTCCTTTACCAAGTGGACCATGCTCGGTGACGTCACAGGCCCACAGAAGTGGGCGCATGGCCCGTGATAAGTTACCATTGGCACCAGAGAGAAGTAAGCATTCATGTCCTCAGATTGGGACCTGGAGCTTTTGGTAGGAGAGGCCAATGCTTTCATCTCTCCTCTGGAAATGACCAGTTAGCAGCTGTTAGAGCATTGATTGTGGAGGATGCACAATGTTGGCCACATGTGGAGGGAAGGAGAGGTAATGGAGGAAATGATAATGGAGTCTGACATACTGTTCTCCAACTTTATTCTCTGGTTCCCAGCACCAACCTATACATTTCACGAGTTGTTTTTTGTTTGTTTGTTTTCTTCTAAATTGAATTCTTCCAAAAGCTTTTAACCAGGGTTTGGGATATATTTCAGTGTTCTATTTTGGCTTTTTATTATACATATTTAACTGACCATTTGGTAGACATTTCCTTAGAACCATCCAGAGGCAAAGTAGGTTCATAGCATTACTTAGTCAAGCCGTTCAGTTATTTTTCAAAGTCAAGTTAGTCTAGAAGCGTTTGCTGTGTTAGTTAAAGCAGCCACCATGCAGAATCTCCCCAAATGGAAGTTAAACTGAACTGTACCATCTGCATCCTGCTCTCCTAGACCAAAGTTCCCTTAAGGGGAGACTGCTCTACCCACACCTGTAGACAGAGGGTCTGAGGACTGTGGAATGACCCAGAACCATGGCTGTTCAGTAAGGGAGTGGAGAATCTCTAAGCATAACCAGGTCTAAAACCTGTGGGCACCTTCTATTGTTTGGCATCAGGATCAGACTCCTCCTTGGGGTTGCTGTAGACCCAAAATGGTGCCTGCTATGTATGATACCCTCACTTGCTGGTCCACCACAGCACATGCTAAATCAGATGATAACATTCTTGGGTCCCATCTTTTTTGCTTTTAATAATTCTTAGTTTTGCTACAATCCCAGCATAGTATCAAGAAGAATCATAAAGCATACTTTTGCAGACTCCAGGAAACCTAAGAAAGAACTTGAGATTTCAATGTGAACCAATGCCTTATATGTATGCAGCACTTTATAGTTTGCAAACAGTGTGTTTCAGGCTCCCTCCCCACACCCTCCACAGTGGTCTTCATGGAATGATTGTGATTTAGTACTACTCTGTCTGATGGAGCGAGGAAACATACTCTGACAGGTGAGGTGCTGAAAACAGCCCAGGTGGTATAGCCAGGACTTGAACTTGTTCCTCCCTCTCTCCTTACTTTGTTCAGTCACTGTTGCATCCAAGTAGTTGGACTTGGAGTGCCCATGTCTTTGTGTTGAAATGGGCACACGCAGTGGTGGCTTTTGCAAAGTCATCCATTGGAACCCCTTGGGGGAGGGAGGAGGGAGCCTTCTTTTCCTTGAACACAGGTTACTGTCCCTCCCTCAGTGACCTACTGACTGTGAATTGGGGTTTAACCTAAGCACTCTGGGCTTCCTTGCCTTCCTTCTGAAAAGTCTACTGCTTGTGAGATGTTGTGAGATTCTTGGATGAAAGAGATAGACTTCAAGAAGTGGAGTGTATTTTTTTGTTTTCCTTTCAAAGAGTGTCAGGAGATGTCAGAGACCGAGCTTAGTGACAAGGGGCCACCAGTCACGTAATTATGAGGTTAATTTCCCCAGAAAGCCTTTAAATCACAAACAAAATCAGAGGTAAAACGTAAAAAGAAAATGTACTTTTCAGAGCGATGACACGGAAAGGTAATATTTTCGTACAGCCACACCGAAGAGTTAGGGAGCAATTTAAGCACATGGGCTGCCTGTCTGAAAGTTACTATTTAATGAAGAGCTGCCACGTCCAAACGAAGTTTTAGGATGCATCTCTTCTTCAGTCTAGTTGAATACGATATTTGATTGGGGTCTTCCCATGTATTTCCCTTCCAATTTTCTTGTATATTTATCTCACAAGAGAAACCAAGTCCTGGAAATGTGAGGTGACTGTCCTGCCCGGGTTTTTGGGATGTGGAGTTGAAAAGGGAAACCCTGAAACTGGACTGTGACAACCCATGTGAAATGGACCGGGGAGGGGGGGACAGTTCCGGGTTCACACCATGACGTCAATCTCAGGGAACCGGATATTGAGCGGCTACAGGTTTCTCAACATGGTGAGACAGGAAGCTGTCTTCTTGCATCCTCTGCACACCTTTCGTTACTCTTCCCCAATGTTACCACAGGCCACAGAGAAAATATTTAAGAAAATGGATTTTGTTTAAAAAGAGAGTTCTTGCATTTCTCTTGCTGTGAGGGCACTCAGCTGCTCTGTATTGGTATTTCTTTGAGTCCAAAGGGGAAGCATGCCCCATGGAAACACTTAGTATCCCATAAAACTGAGATTCTAAGTCACCCTGGATGTTCATGTCCTTGCATGAGGGGGGTGTGACTTGTAGCACTGCATGGTCTTTAAGGGCAAGATGTTAATGTGGAAATGACACCTTCAATTTCACTATGCGTTCGTTCTCTGTCACCTACCCTCTTGGATTATTCTGAAAAGTGTCACAGCTCATTTCTCCTGCTTTATTTTTTTGAAGTTGACTTGTAAGACAAAAATAAAAACAAGGTGAAATAATATATATATAGTAAAATTACATGGAAAAAATGAAAATATACTCCTGGTGGTCATTTTCTTCCCTGCAATGTTGTATTCTAAAAAAAAAAAAAAAAAAAAAAAAAGATTATCTAGGAAGTGTTTGAGGGCTGGGTGTTTATCTTCTGTAAAGGTTACAGCGCCCTCTAGTGCCAGTCACTAAAATAATAGATTCCAGATTACTGATATTTTTATTTGTAAAGAAAAGATCTAATTCTGTTGGGAATTCTTTTTCAACGGTAATTGATGTGGTCTCCTACAATGGTCTTCAGCTTACAGGTTTGTTAGCACAGAGACATTTATATATTTCAAAATTATTAGTTTACAAACAGACTTGCATATTATATATCCCTTATCATTACTCAGCAGCCACATCTTCCTTAGAGATTTAAACGTTTA